TGTTTATTTTGTCTGCTTACTTTTAGAAAAAATTATTTGTTTATTTTTTCTGATTGGGCAAAAATAAATAAAAATATTAAAATAAATACAAGCTAGTCTCTCTTATTTTGAAACGCTGCCGGATGTGGGCTTGTGTAAATTCCGTCTCTCTTCCGTTCCGAAGAAAAACAGCTTTTGGAGTAATTTTTCTTCACTGTTCGCTACGTCTGTATAGTATCAGACTGCGGCCATATGTAATCTAACCCCATTCATTCATTTTTAGACTCCACTTTGTTTCCTGTTGTTCGCGCTAAGCTGTGYCTTTAGAAGAGAAAGCAGCGTTTTCCGCTCTGTCGCTCATCGATTCGGACGTTGTCGGTGTATGCCTCGGTGAGAGTCCGTTACAGGCTGGGTGGTGACAGCAAAAATGATCGAGCGACCAGAAACTGCGGTTCCCAGCATCGCTGTAAGTCCATATTTTTCAAGAGACGGATAACTTCTGTTTGTAGGAAGCTAAGATACAATACAATGTGCTCCCTTGCTCTACTTTTTACTGTTTCGGTTGCATTTAGCCTTTTGAATCGTCYTCACACAGCCCCAGTTCAGCATGTTTTGGATGCTTGAAAACAGGCTGAGCAGAAGCTACATTATCATTAGGTATTATCTGAATGTGAGCTGGTTGAACCGAGGCAAGCTTTAGGTTCCGTACAGAACAGCACGTCTAAGGGGGGTTGTGGTCTGGTTTCAATTATAGCTCACTGCAGTAAGAAGATGGGCTGTGAGAAATTCTTTCTTAGACCATGTTAGCAGTGAAAATATGTGACTGCTGTTGTCCCATTTTATTGCTTTGAAGATGTTATTCGCTTTCCTATATGTCAAAACATCATAAACTAAACAGTTCATTAAAAACTATTAATAATGTAGGTTTTTGTTAGCCTTTTGTCTCCTATCGGATGTWTTGAGTCATATTTTTTCAGTTTGCTCTAATCTGTTGACATTTTTCAAATATGTTCTGTTTGGTTCTGATCAATCTCTTTATCTCTTATTTGTTTGCTATTGTTCTGTGTCAGTTTTTGGTAACATTTTATATATTTTTATTAAATTTATTTATTTATTTTTTAAATGCAAGTTCCAATCACTTAGTCTTGCACAAAGACAGCCAGAYCCACATTTCTTAGTGCGCAGATGCTTGTTCCATAAATATAACATGACAACTTCTGTGAAACTGGTCCTGCTGGCCGCAATTCCCAGCAAAGAGAGAAGACAAGACTTTGGCTATCATTATAATGCATCTATGGTCCTTTACCCTTACAGGCCCTTTCAGTAACACCTCCATCAATGTCACTTACTTTTTTTTAGGGCATTTTATTCTGTCACCTGAATTTAGCATTAAGTGATTACTCACCACACTACATGCAACACATTGTTGTCAGTCTGCATCTGTCTGTGATAAAGCCAGAGGTGAATGTCAGTGACTTTCCTCTGCATAAGAAGGCTGTGGTCATTGCACTATGTCCCTAGAGCTGGATAGAAATAGTTTTGTCTTCAGTGCTAAACATAAAAWAAATATTAAGGCAGTTGGTTTTCAAATGAATTCTGCCCTACACTGTTCAGTGATGCAATTTAAGTGAAAATTTCTTATTTAATATGTAAAGCTTAGAAAAAGGAACAACTAATGGAGGTGTTGAGAAGGCCACAGTATCAGCTGCTGAATGCTTGAAGGGGTGTGGGGTGGGGGGTGTCAGTTATCCTGGCAGTTACTATCACCACTGGGTGGACTGGGGGAGGGGTTCGCATGAATGGTATAGACTGACTATCCTCCTTTTTTGTCATCCCCCATTACTTTCCTCTTTTGCCTGCTGCTCTCGGTTTCTAACTTTTCTTTTACAACTTTAAGTTGGAGACAATAATAAGTCAGTTATAAATGGGATTTTTGAAGCTTGCATGACAGAGACAGTGTTTCTGCTCRTGTTCATTAGGGTGTAATAATTGATTTAATTCGCTTACTTGGACAAACATTATTTATGAAGTGCACCATCTGATCCATGCTACCAAACCATCTAACACTGCATTACATACACACCTAGGTGGTGATTGTAGCTAAAGTTAACATTCACAATTTCTTTTCATCTGTCAGAAGACCTACCTGATGGGAACAAAACAGTGCAGCAGCTGGGAAACAAACAGACCATCAAACATGACACCTTATATAACACCCTCAGAGTTAAAATGTGGGTGGATCAAACTTTGRAAGTGCTTCAGGCTTGTTACATCAGCTGTTAACCTGTTTGCACAAGAGTATTGATGAGGTGAATAAATTGGGCCTTTGTTTGCTGCAGTCTTTCTGTTATGTATTCAGTCTTTGTGGAATGTCTCACTTAAGCAGAATGGTGGATTTTTCTCATTTATCAGCTCTGGTTAGTTTATTTTTCAAGAAAGCTCCGCTACAGAACCACAGTTAGCCTTCTTAATGAACAATTCATTATGTTTTACCTGTCCATGGTCAGGAACAGTGATCTCACAACAATGGTAGCTGTTTTGAATGTCGCTGTGTGGTGCTTGATACTGATGATGATGTTGAAAATCAGTCAGTGTAAACATGTTTGCAAAGAGAAGCTACAGTTTGACAGTTTAAATTGTTTTTAATAGTCCCTATCCCTAAACACGTTTTTTAGAAGATAAAGTCCAAAACATTTTGTACAAATAGTTACCAGTCACATTTTAGTTTTGCAACTTGTCACTGTTATCCAAAAGCAATTTTCCCTCTGTTTATTTACTTTTTATCTGACGAACAGTAGATGTGATCTGGGTGCATCAGTTGTGGCGTGACATAAGTCTTGTCTGTCAAACAATCCCAGCCAGCAGTGTTTTAGGTTGCAATCCTTGTCTATCAGCAGGCCTGACACTGCTGCAGTTTTCCATCTGTGCCACGCATGACAGAGCCCGAGRGACCACCGATCAATTGTGTTTGTCTCATGTAGCGTGCAGGACACTGCACAGCAAGTGGTGGGGGGTGTTATCATGACGGCAGGCAGGAAGACAGAGAGATTCAGAGGGAGGAGATGGGCAGCAGAGGAAGAGATGAAGAGATACTTTGGTAGTAAAAAGACAAAGCAGCTGCTTTGAACTAAACTTATACAGTGGATATGGCTGAACATGTAGGACTTTCTTATTATCAAGCTTCACGTTCTGTATTTAGGATTATTTACTGAAAGTCATTTTTCTGTTTTAGTTGTCTGTTTTTGGTTTTGTTTTTGTTTGGTTGGGTTGAGTCCATCTTTCCATCTTTTTCTAACGAAAACTATAATTTCTTCTTTTTCCCCCTCTTCTATTTACCCCAGCTGCACTTAAGTTCAAAGGGGCTCCGTCTCTGTAGGGCAGAAAAAATGCTAATTATAGGTTTTAAAATAGTAGCAAGCTTGTTACATTTCTGTATCTGTTTTCATTTTTTCTTTAGTGTATTTGTTTATACATGTGCATGAAATAGTGGCAACATTTCTGTTTGTGGTTACATGCATCTWTGTGCTCTTTGTGGATGTTTTGAACCATATTTTGAGAAGTTGTGTCCTAATAATTTCTTCATGTCATTTGATAAACAGAAATTGTTTTTGTGTTTACTTTCAGCAGCGAAACCTGGAGGGGTATGTGGGCTTCGCCAATCTCCCCAACCAGGTTTACCGGAAGTCAGTGAAACGAGGATTTGARTTCACGTTAATGGTTGTAGGTAAGTTGGAGAGGTCTCTATCTGAGCCATGAGTGCGAGAAGCAGTGCTTTGTTTGTGTTTGAGGATTAAACCAGAGCATGCACACCTGCCCATCTGTCTGCTTCTGCTCATTTCTGAGCATCACTGTTTTTTGTTTGTATGTTTGTTTTGTTTTTGCGAACTTGAGCAGATTTAAAGCATGTTTGGCATCCAGTTCACTCAGATGCTCAAGACGACAAGTTGACAAGTTAAAAATCAGTTTCTGCAGAGAGGTGATGCTCTTGTGTCCTGGCCTTTAAAACACCTACACTGTGCTCACCGAAGAAGATGAAAATGATTTGTTTAAGATCCGTCTCCCTGTTCTTTGCCTGAGAGGTTTCCTCTAATGGCCCTGGACACATAATAATGCATTTTTGTGTTAAAGATAATTTAACCTGGGATCTGAGCTGCAGGATGTCGGTTCCGGTTTGAATGGAGTCTGATGCAAACTGTGGCTGTGGAGATCACAGCAGCAAGGAAGTGGACAGGGCTGTGGAGAAACTATGGGTTTGGCTGGGTTTGTTGATGTGAAGCAGATACAGCTGTGCTAGTTTAACATATTGACCTGTGCTCTGTGTGAACTGGGGCTTAAAGTAATTAACAGATACAGATTTTRCACAACTAGCCCTGCAGAACTGTTGCATAGATCTGATTTAAAATAGTTGGTTCACTGCACACAAATGTGTTTGGAAATAGATTGAAAAGGCAAAGGGTTACTTTATAATATTTTTTTGTTAAATGAAAAGATTTCTTTCTTTTTGCTTTTGTTTAGATTTACTGTTTTTTATGAAATGTGTTAGATTTATTTTTTTGTACTGTCCTGCTTTTCACATCATCGGTCATACTGCAGACACCTGACTACAGACAGAACTGTTGCATAGATCGTTTTTACTTTGTGAAGTATAAAATACTGCCCGACATTAAACTAGGTTTTGACTTGGTCAGYTGCAGCACCATGCTTTTTTTAAACAAAATAATTTTTGTACTGAACTATTTAGACTTTCAACAAAAAAGTAATCCTTGAGATTCTAGGCTTTTCTGATTCCTCCATATTTGTTTACTTGCACACRTTACAGCCAGACTAATGTAGATCAATCATGTGACTCCAATTTCCACGTGGTTTCTGTGTGGATCAATATTTTTGTATAACTGCTGAAGTAAACTTTTTAACACTGCCCCATGTGTTATAGTTTATGACAACCTTGTTCCATACTTTGCAATGAATAATGAATAGCAGGCTGTGAATCTAGAAGTGTGTATTTTATGGTGACCCCTGAGTCGGTTAGTGAAAGGTGAAAGACACCAACACAAAGAGACATCCAGTCATTTTTGTGTCAGCCTGAGGTTTTAGTTTCCTGTTTGGTAAACAGCCGCTGTGGACGAACAGCAGAGTGATGGCTCTGGTGAGGACTATAGATTGCAGTCATGTACATCCTGTCTCCCATGAGCCGCTTGTCTGTCTTCCCAGATTTTTTTATTTTATTTTTGCTTCCATCTTTATTGAACCTGACTAATCTTAATTTCACACTTATGAAATGTGTGTTCAAAGTTCATTGAAAAGGTTCTCTGCTGAAGTTTGTTTATTGTGTTCCTAAAACATTCCTAATAAGTGACTGAAAACTTTTACTTCTTTGGTTTTGATAGTGTATTGTAGGCACAAGATTGAGCCCTTTAGGAAACTTGAATACACATCTGTTGTAAAGAAATTAGTAAAATAGAGCTGAGTAAACTGAGCTGTTTTGTCTACTCTTATTGTGAAAAGGTTGTTCACTGAAAGTGACAGTGTGGTTTACATCAAACAAGTAAGATTTGCTATTTTTTTTAGAAATTAATTGTGAATTTGCTACATTTAGATTATGACAAAGTTTCCCAAAAAATAAGGTTTGGTTTTGTAGGGCTCGTTTGCTTGGTGATCTTATTACATGACTTCCTGTCCTGGTGGTTAAATAACTTTAAAAATGAATGCTGATATAATTTGCTTGCATTAATATTTACCATTTCAATGTTTGTCTTAATTCTGGATAGCAAGATYGCAAAGCAACAGAAAGCAAAGTTGTTTTTTCCTTAATGTCCAAATAATTACCCCACATGTATAATTTCTGCTTGTCGCTGTTTTCAAATTCCCCACATTCTCCTGGGAATCATTCCAGCAGCGTTCTTGCAACAGTTGGAAAAAAAAGCAGACAATATTTCTGCTCTCCAGAGCAGTTCAGACTGTCTGGGGACAGCATCTGTTTACTGTCTTTATGTTGCTAAAGTGTTCAAGTTGAAAACACTTCTAAATACTTTGGGTGCCTTAAGCACAAAACAGTTTTAGGGCATCAACTTATGTGGGTTTGCGTTCAATCAGGAATGTAGGTCAAAAGCAGGTGACCACCTTACAATTAATAATCCATCACAGAACACAAACAGGACTAAATAAATAAGGTGTTCATGTCATAGAACAATATAAAGTGATGGAGAAACGAGAAAAGAAATACCAGAGTTAGACAGGAGAGCAGATTGTGTTTGATTTGAGGAGCAGCCAGCAGCTGGATATAGCTCCGCTGTACTTGGCTTCCTAGTGAACTGTAAAAACTCGGCTGGCTTCAGAGGCCCAGTATTGTTCTGTGGACCCAACAGATGGTGGAATATGAGAAGGCTCGGTTGGTGCCTGTAGGTCACTCACTCAAATTCCAGCAGTGAAGGGGGGTCTTTAGGTATTTAGGAAAAAGTATGTTAACAACACAATTTACTTTCATTACAAGCCATGAAATAAGAGAGATTATTGGCAAAAACAAGCATTGTTATTCTCATACCTGCTCGTGGTGATTGTTAATCTAAACAGACTGTTGCAATATATTTAAGGACTGATGCTCCTAGATATTTCAGGATATCATATTTTTTAAATAGTGTGTCTGAACCAGCTCTACTTGAACTTTAGAATGTGTTGACTTAGTACAAACAATTAAATTACAGTCATTGTTTAACTTCAGCTCATCTAGACTAGTTTATTTATTTATTTATTTATTTGTTTATTTATTTATTTATTTATTTGAAGTAATCCAATTCTGTGCTATTGACATGCATTTTATAGCTGAGGCTGGCTTCTGGTTTGTATCTTTCCAGCAACAGTTCACACTCTTCTGATTATCTGCAACTTCCAAAAAGAAAAGTYGTGTAATGTTTTTAGAAGTTATGTAATTTTGATCAATTTAGAGTGCAAAATAGAGTATATTGACAAGTGACCGAAAGTCCCAGACTTTTTCCTCTTAAAACCCAGGAACAGAATTTTGTGAAACAAGGAAGCAGCTTTAGTTGAATGTCAATGGATCTCTTGCTATGAAGGAATGCCCTCAGAAATACGTATGTTCTTCTGGTGGGTTTTTCTTCTTCTCCTCCCTCCTTTCGGATCTGATCTGTCGTTTTTCTCTCAGTCTTGCCTCTCTCTGAAGGGGAAGAAAAAGCAGCTTCCTGCTCCTTTTGTCCAGCTGGCAATTTGAATAAAAACTCTTGGAAAGATTAGCAAGATCCTGCGCCAGCACGGAGATCCAAACAGAGCAGAGAGTCAGATCAGAGCTGGGAGGAGACGGGAAGCGATTCCTGCTCCGTGCTGCTTCTGATGTGTAACAAGAGCAGTGTTTAACAGCTCTGTCATGCCTCTGCTTCTGCTCTCCTCAAGCATCTCAGGAGGAGAGCTCGTCAGAAACTTTGTAAGAGACTCACCATGCATTAATTTACTGTTGATATAATGTGATAATAGTGAAACATTTAGGGGTGGGGGTCAAGCAAAGAATTAAGATCCAGATAGTTTAAAGTTTTATCACATGACTTACAGTCAAAATAACATCATTATTATTATTATTATTATTA